TTTCTTGGAATGTCAAAACCGTCAGTATTGTATTCAGCATCTTCGAGACCCGGTAAATATTCTATGTTATCATCTAATATATAATCTTTCAGCTGGCCGCATCTGGAATTGAAGTCCCCAGCCAATATAAAATTTACATCAGGATATTCACTTTCAACTTCAACTAAGTTTTCTTCAAATTGTTCAAACAGGCACCCATTCGTGTGTACTTTACTCCCTTCAGGTGCAATATAAACAAAACAGAACACTGCATCCTTTTCCCAACCAAAGTAGGCAGCATTAAATTTCAAAAGTATAGTTTCTGTATAACAACTCTTTATTCTAACAATACCAGCTGCTATAGTTTCTCGGAAGTACACGACTAACCCACCCCTTTCTTTACCATTTCCTCGAATACATACTTCATATTTATAATCTGTAAGAACTTCATCATATTTAAAGTCATCTCCACACCATGTCTCTATTAAACACATAACATTAAATTGGCTCAAATAATGTTTAAAATCGCCAAATTTACATTTACTCTTTAGTCCATTTACGTTCCAACAGACACATTTTAGTTTTTTAACACTCGAATAAAATTCAGAAACTTCCGGATGTGATGTGATTTGCTATTTGTTGTTTTCACTTAGAACTATTATCTTTTCGGCTTCAAGGTCGAACGTATACACATCTTGATTAACTATTAACTTGTCGAATTTCAAATACGCTCTCACATTTTGATCATTCTTCTTAACTTCATTCAACTTAGGTATGAGCGCTCTTCTGATTTTTCGAACTCGTTCACTGAAATCTTCTCCGACTCTCAAATTAGAGTCAAATGATTTGAGGTGTAGTCTACAACTTCGTTAAATCGTGTCTCGGTCTTTTAATCTATTTAACACTATTAACATAGGTCTTGGTCTTGTTGCGTTTGGCGTTCTTTTTCCAATTCGGTGAGCTCATTCAATCCCAATATCTTTGTCCCTCTTACAACCTTCAATATTAAATTCCTCAGACAAAATTTTCCTTACCAGTTCTTCTCCATTTTCATTCCTATCGCCTGTTTCTGCTATTCCATAGATAATAATATTTTTCTCTTTGCCTTTATTTTCCAGTGAATCCAGTTTTGAGCCGAAGTTAACAAAATTCGTTTTCATGTCATGCACATCCGATTTTAGTTTAAGAAACTCTTCTTTAATATTCATATCTCGCATTTCTTGTCTCATATCGGCTATATCACCTTTTAATGATTGAAGCACAGTCATAAGGTCTAAATCCTTATCTTTGTCCTGTGGATAAACAATATCTCCGGTCCTTGAGATCTGACCTTGACGGGTAGAAGGGCCTGGATTACTCTCGATATCACCCGATAACAGCAATACCAGCGTGGAGATTATCAAAAGTGTCATAATCCTATTATTCTGTCGAATAATTCCAACATATGTCTTCAAAGATGCACTTTTGTATCGACAACAGCTAATTTGCATCCTCCAAATAGCAATTTCAGGCCCCATTTCAACAAAAATTGAAAACCTAAAAACGGTTACGGATGGGTGAATCTCACTGTGTTAAAAGTGCGACCGTCCTCTTCGAAGTTAATGGATACCATTAATCAACAAGGACGTTACTCAAATATCTATTTTATTTATTTTTACACAAGTGACGGTGTTAAGGAGCATAAAAGATCTGACTATTCATTTTATTCGTGCAAACCAGTGAGGTGTTAAAATAGTTATACAGAAATAGAAAATGTTAATACAACCGTCTTAATTCTAGGTTTTTTTCTATCAGGATTCGCGCCAGGAAACGCGTTTGCGGCCGTCAAACTTTCCAAATTTTCTCCTTTTTTGGGGGGGGGGGGGCGGTGGTCCTATATTGTAAGCCCCGCTCCTTGGCCTATCGCAGACGACCGGCACCGTCGTCTGTGGTAGCCCAAATTTGTTTCGGGCATTTCAGGTTCTGCCCCCCCAACCATTCATCGAGTCAGTACGCCTATGTTCATTTTTAAAAAGAATATATTGTAATTAGGCCTACTGATCAATTATGTTCAGTGAATAGTCCATTCTACACGTTTTTTTAAATCATTTTTTTTGTCGTTAATTGTGAATCAGCCATTACTAATTACTTCCACATTGTCTTGTGGGTTGTTTTCTTTGTTTATTACTAGTGACGAAACATGCAGTCAACCGTATTGATTATAAAACGTTCATGTGTCTTAAATATTGGATATTAGGATCCCATATTTTCACGGCAATATAACAACTTCAATATACCAATACTAAATTTCAATGTGTTTTTATTTTTGAATGTTATGGACCCCCCCCCCCTCACATTCTCATATAACAACTCTATGCGTCTGTACAGTAATTATAAGTGAGCCGAAAATCGTCTGTGTAAATCGTCTCGCTCGCTAGTACAAGAACGCCATTGTACAAAACTATATACTCCCACAGTCCCATACAACAACTTTTGGTCTTCGAAGGAATTATAAGTGAGCAGAAATTCGCCCATGTATCTGTTCTCACCCATCACTTCATTCAGTTATATAAAGGGATAACTCGTGTTTTCCTTTTGCGTTCGTCACTTCCTATTGTTGAAACATTGATTACTCATCTATCGTAGCAATGATCTCTGTGATAAAATAATATTTGGAACGTGTTTAACCAGTTCTATCACATATGTGATAATGACTGGCACCAATATTGTCCTTTAATATGCATGTTGATCAGACAGAAGATTAAAGCCGTCGAACAACAGACTAGACAAATTATGGAAATTGACAAACAAATAGGTGAGATAGTCAACGGGAACCAGTTGGAAGAAATGTGCAAAACGACCCAAAATCTGATACAAGACAACAGCCATAAAGATTTTGCTGTGCCAGATTACTCTTGTCCTCGATTTCAAGATGGCGTCACAGATGCGGAGGAATTATCCAAGCAAATTGGACAAATACGCAATATGGGAGACGTCAGATGTGTATATGGGCAGACTAACGGATATGTGTATGGGCAGAGTCCCGGATATGTGTATGGGCAGACTTCCGGGTATGTGTATGGGCAGACTCCCGGACATGTGTCTACAAGCAGTGGCGGATTACCCATGGCACCTGTGCAACGGCCCTGAGGTTTAGGAGTCTCTTAAAAGGTTAGAATACAAAACTGCATACTTCATTACCAATCGTGTTAATAATTATGCGATGATTTTAACCACACCTGACCACACCAGATTCTAATTGCGCTAATGAACGTTTGAAGTGAATTAAACCAACTCTAGCGTTCTATTATGAAGCAGGGGAAACTGAACAGTTTGGTATTGGTGAGCCTTCAATGTGACTTTACTCCGAAATAATTGATTCCTTTATTGAGAATTCAGGTTGTATTTTTCTGTTAAATCTGGATGGATATTGAGTATTTAAAACAAGAAATTTCTTTATGTAATTCAATTAAAGTAAAAATTTTAACCTATTTTGTTTATCTTTGGGCGGGGGGGGGGGGGGGTCTCCATTTACTTCATTGTCTTTGAAAGGTTTACATTTAAATTAAAATTAGTACAAAATTTATACAAAATATTTAGTTTTCTTTGTAAATCACCAACCGAGTCTGATAATATGCTAAGATCATCTGCATATAACAACATAATTATATCGTTTGCTTCTTGCGTAGTGAACAACCCTCTTACATCACTAGCTTCCATCATTTCTACGAGTTGATTGACATAAAAACAAAATAGAAGAGGACTTAATATGCATCCTTGTTTAACGCCTGATAAACAGTCAAAATAGGGGGTTATGTTGGATCCTACTTTTACACTTGATAATACATTGGAGTACATGCTTTTTAATGCTAAATACATCTTGCCATTCACACCTTTTGTTAGCATTAATGCTAATAGTTTCTTTCGATTCAATGAGTCAAAAGCACGAGAAAAGTCTACAAATAAAGAATACATTCTCCCCTTTGATTTTGTGAGATATTTTTGAATAAGACCATGTAAAGTAAAAATATTATCGACAGTAGAGTACCCTTTCCTAAAGCCTGCTTGTGCTTCACAATACTTATTTTCGACACAACACCAATTTTGTAATCTATTATTGAGCACAGCACAGTATATTTTACCGATACAATCAGTCAGAGATATGCCTCTGTAGTTTGATGGGTCATGTTTTGTTCCTTTCTTGTGCAGAGGTGTGATTAGGGTCCTTGACCACGAGTTTGGAAATCTGCCTTCATCAAATAGGGTATTATACAAAGTTGTGAGAACTAGGCCTATTAGTTCTACACATGACTTATAGAAATCAATTCCTAGACCGTCTGGACCAAGTGAAGTACCTGCTTTCATATTGTCTATACATTTCTTAATTTCATAATATGTTACAGGTTCATTTAAAATATTACTACACTGAAAAAAAACTTGTGTTGAAAGAACACAAACTTGTGTTAAATTCAACACAAGTTAGGTGTCTCTATTTAACAACACAAACTTGTGTTAAAACAACACAAAACTTGTGTTAAATGTTGAAACAACACAAAACTTGTGTTAAAATGTATCAAACAACACAAAACTTGTGTTAAAATGTATCAAACAACACAAAACTTGTGTTGAAACTTGTGTGAAATCTACACAATACTTGTGTTGAAACTTGTGTTGAAATTTCTGAAACTTGTGTTAAAATTTCTGAAACTTGTGTTGAAATTTCTGAAACTTGTGTGGTTTCATACAAACTTGTGTATAACCATCATCAAAAACTTGTGTTGTATTTTTCCCCAATTTATATCCAGCATAGCAACCTTTCTATGCAGGACCCCTCTCTTTGCTCTGTTAGACCTGTAAAGTTTGATAAAAGAAGGAAACAAAAAAAAAATTTGTAAGATTATTATTTATTCATAAAATCATAGGAAAAAGTAAATTAATACATCAAAACTAAATAGATATTTGAAATGTTAACAGAAAAACAGAGACTTCAATTCTAATACAAATTATGTTGTGTTATATATAATGACCCCTCCCCCCCCCCACTTTACCCATCACAAAATATAAAATAGCTATTTAAATTGTTCTTTACCCCAAAACAAGAACTGAGAATATAAAGATATGTACACAGTATCCCTACCCCATACCCCAAAATATATAATTCAAATATATCTAAATTTAATAACATCCAAACTAAGCACTAATAAGATTAATTATGCACTAAATTGAAACAATTTCAAAAACTGAAAAATGCTACAAAATCACACTACAAGTGATTTGTGAGGCATCTAGAAATAACTAGCATACACAGAAAACTAACAAAAGAAAATTGCTCTATTTTGCAGGAGTAATAAAATGATGTAGAGCCTTTTCCTCATTAAAAAACCCCCAAACAAAATGAATATTTTATAAATAAAAGAAGCAAAGCATCAAGATTACAGGATTGAAATAAAAAAATATCATATGTACAAAAGATTTATATACAATCACAAGTCATAAGCCACAGTGGTTCAGTGAGCATAAGGCGTTGGCCGCGAAATTTCAACTGGATTTTCCGGCATAGTTCCCACTTTTCAGTGTTGGATATGGCAAGGGATAATTGGGTACAAGCCCAGAATCAAAAGAGAGAGAGACAGAGAGAAATGGGGTTTAACATCTACTCGACACAAACTAGATCATTTTGGGATTAACATATGGTTTAATTTTATTTCAATAATTCGCTAGCGCGTAGGGGTCTTTAGCAGTGGGAGGAAACCGGAGGTCCCGGAGAAAACCCACAAGATTGGACAGGCGACCCTACTCCTTGTCTACAACCGGGGATTCGAAACCATGCCAGTTGACTCAATGACAGGAGGCCGTATGATACAGCATGCACGTGCTAACCATTCGGCCATCCACCCCCACCCCCCAGAATTGAAACCAACCCAACTGCGTACACTTTGAAGAACCCTTGAAAATTGAATTATTTGAATCAATGACAGACCTTCTGATCAAATGTGTGCGTGTTAACCATTCGGCCCCCCTGGGTACCCTTTAAAGAACCCTTGACAGTTGAAATATTTGATATAAGGGTAGGGTAGAATCACTCTAAGAACACAGAAAAGCAGGATATTAAAACGTATTTCATTTCATAAGCAAGGGAAAGTCACCTTAATGTAGGTCAAGGTTTTTTGTAATTCTGGGTGTATTTGATCTACATTTGGTTTCTAGTAATGCCTATTAAATACTTTATGATTTCCGACCAAATTCTAAGTGATTTATATGTCAGTTTACTTGCTATATTATACATACATATTTGAAGAGAATTAAAATCTAATTGTGTTTTGGAAGAAAATTTAACATTAATAACAAAAAATAAATATTTAAAAATTGGGTCAAATGCATTCTTTCCCAGAAGTATAAAATAAATTGATGCTTGGGTTCTCTTGTTGTTATCATACACCAAATACTCTTTCAAGGGTGTTCCAGCCTAAAAAATAAAAAGTAGGCAATAAGAATACGATGTTTAAATAAACAATTTATTTTGCCACATCGAGACTGAGTCTCTATTTGGTTTCAACTTTGCGTAACGCTTATTGTGTCTTGTCCACTTAAAGACCCAGGCAGATTATTATGCTCAAATCAAATGGGTTAAAAGTCAGAAAAATGAAATGAAATGGGGTTTAACGTCCTACTGTTCTGCTCCTATACTGGGCTAATAATGACGGGCATATGCCACACAGTGTGCTATGAGGGAATTTTTGCCCGGGCAGCGGCACTATCATCTATTCTTATATCGAATTCCAACTGCCAGGGGATCTTTTACGTGCATTCCAATATTCGTCTCATCGGAAGGACTAGACAGCTGTCATTGTCAGGCCAAGTCAGAAAAAAGTCTTGAGATTTGGGACTGAAGTCTCATAATAGGTCAACTATTCACCCGGTTCATACATGTATTGTCTGCAAATCCAGATTCCCTACTACATCATTGGCAGCACCTATTTACTTGGCAATGTCTAATTATTTTTGGACCCATTCTTATTTTATTTCCATTGACAACAAATTGGATATTACCCTTTAAAATCTATTGAAATCTATTTGAAAAGTAAAATATTGTCCATCATTATTTTACTGCTATTTACTGTAATGGATGTGATTGGCAAAAATCAAGCATGCCAAGTACTTGAAATAGCTGAGTCCTAGGCATTGCCCCAAGAAGAATAACTAGATTACCAAGCAAGTGTATAGAACTAGTTGATGATTAAAAATACAAATATGTATGTTACTTACATTTTACCTGATTATCAAGCTCTGTGAGAAAAAGTTTCCATAATATGAATAGCCATTTTCAACTGTCTTGATCTTTCTGATGTAGTTAACGGAGAAAAAAAACATACTATGTATTAGTTGACTTAAATCGACTCGACAGTTAAAAGATGAAAGTTTTAATTTAATTACATTGTATTGTAATGTGTTGGTTTGCTTTGTCACAGATGAGACAAAATGAAAAAAATGAAATGGAATGGGGTTCGGCGTCCTACTGTTCAGCTCCGACTGGGCTAATGAGGTTGGGCATATGCCATACAGTGTGCTATGAGAGAAATTTTGCCGGGTACCGTGACCCTAAGGCCTACTCTTGTATCAAATTCTAACTGCCAGGGGCTATTTTACATGCACGCCAATGTGTACACGGGACCACGTTTTTTTGTTCAATCTGAACGACTAGACAGCTGTCCTTGTAAGGCCCTCCGTTCTGCATTGTCTTACTGCAAACCCGCGACCTTAAAATATGCGAACCAGTGTCTAACCCACTTGGTCACCGTAGGTCCCCACAGATGAGATAGTCATATCTACATGTATCTGGACATAAGTAAGATTCTGTCTGTGCACATACATGTACTTCACAGTTTTACTATACTAAACTGAATTTTAAATTCCAAATAATAAAATGAAATTAAGGTTTATGTCACATCAGCTCCAACCGGGCTATATTGTGCCAAACACATTATGGTGAGATTCTAAAATACCACAACAACAATCTTTTCTATTAGAATTGAACACTCACCCTCAAAAAACAACTATGAGAAATCATAGGTGCTCAAATCACCATTTCTTCAGCTCTTTTTTTCCCATATTTGGGTTTTTTGACTTATTTTATTATATGATCTTTGATTTGCTATGGCATCTAATATGGAAACTGAAAAATATAAATATGTGACATGTAATTAACTGTTTAAGATACCTTACCATATACAAACTGTGTGATATCTAAAACCATTTGAATCCCGAAGATCTTACCGAAGCCGTGAAAATCTGTTTTAATAACCCTTGTTTGTCATGTGACTGGACTGTCACAGTAATTAGAAGAGAGCCATGTGGCTTAGTGTGTAAGGCACTGGCTTGCTACCCGGGAGTTTGTAGGTTTGCTCCCAGTGTTGACCGAGAAAGCTCATTTGGATTTTTTAGCATGGATTCCCTGTCTAGTCGTCATGGTGACTAAGTGGGTAAGACGCTGGCTCGCTAGCCTGGAGGTAGGGTGTTCGATCCCTGCATTGGCCGAGAAAGTTCACCCAGATTTTCCGGCGTGGTTCCCCCTTGTCAGTGATGCAGGATGGAGGGCCTGACAAGGACAGTTGTCTAGTCATTCGGATGATACGAAAAAACGAGGTCCCGTGTACACGTTGGCGTCCACGTAAAAGATCCCTTGACAGTTGGAATTCGATAGACCGCAGTGCCGCTGTCCGGGCAAAATTTCCCTCATAGCACACTGTGTGGTGTATGCCTGTCTTCATTAGCCCAGTTCGGAGCAAAATAGTAGGACGTTAAACCCCATTTCATTTCTAGTAGTTTCAATGGAACACAAAACCTGAGGTCCAATTGGCGTGCATTTAAGCCGATAGTATGGTAGTTGGAATTTGTTGGCTGTAGCACCCGTGTCACAGTTCGACTGCTAGTTTGTGATACCCACTCGATATAAATGAGTGGTGATTGGCTAATGAATTCTAAAATCAGACGAATGCTTCGGCGAAGCGGACAGCAGGACACACCACTCAAATACAATTCGACCAAATATATTAAACATGTTTGATTCGGGCGTATGTCAGTGGATAAACTAGGTGAAGTTTAGCGCCAATTGATTCAGCCGAATCCTTTGGCTAGTTTATCCAGTACTGACGATTTAAGTTTGTACTTTCTTTATATGCAAATATCACATTTGAAAGAGGCTGTAGGCCTACTTTCTTTATATGCAAATATCTTATTTGAAATAGGCCATTATTATGTGATTCCCCACTTGAATGTGACTAGGAATAAGGTCGCCTGTCCAGCCTTGTGGGTTTTCTCCGGGTCCTCCGGTTTCCTCCCTTTGCTAAATACCTCTAGGGTGTATTCGAAACAGTGTTCCGGTGCAGAGAACGGACGGAGAATGGGTTCTTGTCGGACTTGAGCAGTCTGGAATGCGTTCACGAACACGTTCCCGTTCTCAAATCCCACACTACCTCATAGCTGGTGTGAGGGAGAACAAACATGGTCGACGCATCGATAACTGCTGAGAAAACAGCATCATGGGTGCATTTATTAATTTAAAAGTTTAATACCGTTCGAAAATTGGATGTAGTATGTGGCCAGTATAACATCAAATAAGTTAGGTTGCCAGGCAACGAAACATATGCCCACAGCAGTTTAATCGTTTGCTCAGTCAACAGGGATTGTCGCATATTCATTCTTTTGTAGGTAATGTGGGCATTTACAAGAAAAGATTATAATTTTTGTCGTTTGTGGGTTTACAAAGGTTCTACAAACTGAAACAAGGGCCTTAATTGTTGAAATTTGACAGATTTTTTTGTTTTGTGTTTTACTAATTTAAATAATGCATACAAATCGGATGATAATTTTGTTGTTCGCGCGTCCACAAGGTTCGAAAAAGTGAAACAAGGGCCACAACTCTAGACATAATTCACGGAAATCGCAGAAATTTAATAGACGTCTTCGTTTTACTAATTTAAAAGATGCAAATGCATTTCACAAAGTGAAACAAGGGCCATAACTCCAGAAGAAACTAACGGAAATTATTGAAATTAAATAGGATTCATCTCATTAAAATAAACAACATATCAATTTCAAAATAATCAGGTCTGTAGACGACGGACAAACCTACGGACGAGGGCGATGACAATATGCGACCACATTTCCATGTGGGCGTATCAAAAGGTGATGTAATCGTCATCCAAAGAATTGAAAAGGAGTAAAATGGAGTCATAATTTATCATAAGTATGCCTAATAGCGAAGTCAATACCAAACAAGTTATCGTAACAGATTGTATAAATTTAATTCATCTTGTTACCATGGATACCGTTCTCTCATGTTCGAGACTCATGAAAGTGTTTTCATGTTCTTCAGCCGTTCTCGAACCTGCGCGAACACTGTTTCTAATACACTCCTACGGTACGCGCAAGCAAATCATTCAAATAAAATTGAACAATATTAGCCTCAAAATTACCTAGCGCCAGTAAGTATAAAGGATCTATCCGACAAACACTAACAACAACTCTAGGTTTATGCAGAATTAATATAACACAACATACACAGATGGCAATAGAATGAGACAGTGTTCAGGAAAAGGGCGGAAACGGAAGAAGACTACCCGTCCTACTTGATTCTAGGACATAAAGCATGGGCCTACTTGATTCGACCTTGTCTGCGATATCACCTCGGTGGAAGCGGACGTAAAATACAACTAACCCATCATTGATTCGACCAATTTAATACAAGGAAATGAATGGCATAGTTTGTGTCAAGTGAATTTAGTGAATTTTAAACCCCATTTACTCGCCCTCTCTCTACAGAGATAAATACTTTTCCTGTTACATACAATAACAATTATTGGCCATTATTTAAAAAATATATTAAAAGGAAATGAAATTCTGTTACCTGTTTTTCTTTGTGTAGTACATATGCTAACATCAATGACTGGAAAAAAAATAACGAAACTGTAGAGAAACTTCTGAATCATTGAAAGTCTAATTATTAGGCCTACACATTGATGACATTGATATAAAAAAAAGGCTGATTTGTTTGTTGTTGTTTTTTTCTTTTACAGAAATATTAAGATTACATTTCAAATAAACAACTAACACAAAAGTTAGTATCTAGCTATAGTCCATGTCTGGATATACATTTCTCCTTTTTTTTGGCCCGAACGTCTATAAAAATCAAAGATGGCGGCCAATAATTGCAACCGGGCATTACTATAAAATCAAAACAGATTCTTACCTGCTGGTCCTAGTCGGGGGTTTCTTGCAATTATAAGTATTTGAACAACGGTGTAGCGCCGATTAGCTAATAATAATTAAGCACGATTTCAGAAAAATTAAGACAGATTCATTAGATTGCTGAATTAGCGGAACACTTTTAGAACACATCAAAAAAAATTTCTTTGTGGCGCCATTATATAAATAGAATTTCGGTGCAGTCAGTGGCAGTGGTTCTAAATCTGACTGTTTTAAACGAAACGAATTATTATATACATAGAAGCAATATATACATGCTAAATTAAATACACGGTTTTATTTTTTGTAAAAATTTACAAACCTGCGGTCTGGTATTCTATGTGACCATTATAATTTTTTTTTAAAAAATATCACGGCTAAAGCACTCTGTTGATGCTAACGTCACTACATCTAACTGAATGTCGCTGATATAATATCAAAGAAAGAATTTGTCGCAATGACTAAAGTATAGATACTTCTTCTTAGTTAGTTGTATTTTACGCCCGCTTCCACCGAAGTGATATCGCAGACAAAAAGTATAGATAACTTGGAGAACCATTATATCAATAAGTCGATTATGAGATACACGTGGATGATCAATTAAATTTGATTGGTTACTTTTCAGTTAACCAATACTGTCCAATTTCGATTACATCAACCAATTACATTATTAAGAGTTTTACTCATTTTTTTTGTTCATTGCACATTGAATCAATTTTCGAAAACACCAGGGTGCTGAAAATCACATGTACACTATATATTCATTTGGTCTATCAGTTTATTGGGTCAATAAAAAAAGACAGACATTTTAACTATACAGACAACTTAACACCAATTAACATTCAAGTCTGTCTGGCAATTGTCTGATTAATTGGTACTCACTCCCTTCCAGTGATTTTCGAGATGTGAATTAAGCCCTTTATTACTTTTCTTAAAACTTGACGACTCCCGAATTCAGACTTTGTATGGAGTTTTTTTCTTAAAAAGAAAACAAATCGTGGAAGGTACACATTACTTGTGTTAATGATATGAAAAAACACACAAGATTTTATAAATCGACACAAGTTTGTGTTAATGCAATGCAAAACAACACATAACTTGTGTAGATTAGTTTTAACACAAGTACTTGTGTTGAGATCCAACACAAGTGTTTTTTCAGTGTAGACTCACTAATTGTAATATTAATATTAATATTATCTACTCTCTGTGAATCAGTTATTGGATTTAGCAGTGTTTCAAAGTAGTTCACCCATTGACTTGGGGTTATTCTGTCAGATACCGAAACCTTTTGACGAAAACCTTTTACAGTCTGCCAAAACTTACTTGGATCATTTAAATTTTGAAGTAACTGATTACAGACATGTCGATTATATTCTATTTTTTTAAAACTACACAATTCTTTGAATTTATTTTTGCATGTATTAAATAGTTTCAAATCAATAACAGAATTACTAAGTCTAAATTTATCTAATGCGCAGTACTTACTATTCTTGCTATTTACACAGTCGGAGTCAAACCATGGCGGTTGCTCCTCTGTTTTAAAATGATATGACCTTTTCCTGCTGTTCATTGATTTTGCACAAGATTTCATAAAGTTCGTTACACATTCTATAGCCAGGTCCACCTCCGTTAACAGTAAATGTTTGAATTCAAAATTAAAATTATCAAAGTTCGTATTTATCTCCATAGCGAATTCGTCCTTTTTACTGGGCTTCCATACATATTTGTTGTAGGGGGTTGTCTGTATATTTGTGCTTTCGGTTAAGAAACCTTCTACATGGCATTGAATATGGAATTCTAAGGGCAGATGATCCGATTCGTCTTTACATTGAACATAAAAATAGTCAATAAGATTGAACATTTCAGTGGAAGTAATGACATAGTCTACAACACTAGAACCATTATGTTTTATACAAGTCATTGCACCAAACTTATCACGATCACTCCTCCCATTTAGCATATGAACATTGAATACAGCACACATGCGTATTAATTTAAGTCCAAATTTGTTAACTTCATTATCCTGCGAATTTCTTGGAATGTCAAAACCGTCAGTATTGTATTCAGCATCTTCGAGACCCGGTAAATATTCTATGTTATCATCTAATATATAATCTTTCAGCTGGCCGCATCTGGAATTTAAGTCCCCAGCCAATATAAAATTTACATCAGGATATTCACTTTCAACTTCAACTAAGTTTTCTTCAAATTGTTCAAACAGGCACCCATTCGTGTGTACTTTACTCCCTTCAGGTGCAATATAAACAAAACAGAACACTGCATCCTTTTCCCAACCAAAGTAGGCAGCATTAAATTTCAAAAGTATAGTTTCTGTATAACAACTCTTTATTCTAACAATACCAGCTGCTATAGTTTCTCGGAAGTACACGACTAACCCACCCCTTTCTTTACCATTTCCTCGAATACATACTTCATATTTATAATCTGTAAGAACTTCATCATATTTAAAGTCATCTCCACACCATGTCTCTATTAAACATATAACATCAAATTGGCTCAAATAATGTTTAAAATCGCCAAATTTACATTTACTCTTTAGTCCATTTACGTTCCAACAGACACATTTTAGTTTTTTAACACTCGAATAAAATTCAGAAACTTCCGGATGTGATGTGATTTGCTATTTGTTGTTTTCACTTAGAACTATTATCTTTTCGGCTTCAAGGTCGAACGTATACACATCTTGATTAACTATTAACTTGTCGAATTTCAAATACGCTCTCACATTTTGATCATTCTTCTTAACTTCATTCAACTTAGGTATGAGCGCTCTTCTGATTTTTCGAACTCGTTCACTGAAATCTTCTCCGACTCTCAAATTAGAGTCAAATGATTTGAGGTGTAGTCTACAACTTCGTTAAATCGTGTCTCGGTCTTTTAATCTATTTAACACTATTAACATAGGTCTTGGTCTTGTTGCGTTTGGCGTTCTTTTTCCAATTCGGTGAGCTCGTTCAATCCCAATATCTTTGTCACTCTTACAACCTTCAATATTAAATTCCTCAGACAAAATTTTCCTTACCAGTTCTTCTCCATTTTCATTCCTATCGCCTGTTTCTGCTATTCCATAGATAATAATATTTTTCTCTTTGCCTTTATTTTCCAGTGAATCCAGTTTTGAGCCGAAGTTAACAAAATTCGTTTTCATGTCATGCACATCCGATTTTAGTTTAAGAAACTCTTCTTTAATATTCATATCTCGCATTTCTTGTCTCATATCGGCTATATCACCTTTTAATGATTGAAGCACAGTCATAAGGTCTAAATCCTTATCTTTGTCCTGTGGATAAACAATATCTCCGGTCCTTGAGATCTGACCTTGACGGGTAGAAGGGCCTGGATTACTCTCGATATCACCCGATAACAGCAATACCAGCGTGGAGATTATCAAAAGTGTCATAATCCTATTATTCTGTCGAATAATTCCAACATATGTCTTCAAAGATGCACTTTTGTATCGACAACAGCTAATTTGCATCCTCCAAATAGCAATTTCAGGCCCCATTTCAACAAAAATTGAAAACCTAAAAACGGTTACGGATGGGTGAATCTCACTGTGTTAAAAGTGCGACCGTCCTCTTCGAAGTTAATGGATACCATTAATCAACAAGGACGTTACTCAAATATCTATTTTATTTATTTTTACACAAGTGACGGTGTTAAGGAGCATAAAAGATCTGACTATTCATTTTATTCGTGCAAACCAGTGAGGTGTTAAAATAGTTATACAGAAATAGAAAATGTTAATACAACCGTCTTAATTCTAGGTTTTTTTCTATTAGGATTCGCGCCAGGAAACGCGTTTGCGGCCGTCAAACTTTCCAAATTTTCTTCTTTTTTTGGGGGGGGGGGGGGCGGGGGCGGTGGTCCTATATTGTAAGCCCCGCTCCTTGGCCTATCGCAGACGACCGGCACCGTCGTCTGTGGTAGCCCAAATTTGTTTCGGGCATTTCAGGTTCTGCCCCCCCAACCATTCATCGAGTCAGTACGCCTATGTTCATTTTTAAAAAGAATATATTGTAATTAGGCCTACTGATCAATTATGTTCAGTGAATAGTCCATTCTACACGTTTTTTTAAATCATTTTTTTTGTCGTTAATTGTGAATCAGCCATTACTAATTACTTCCACATTGTCTTGTGGGTTGTTTTCTTTGTTTATTACTAGTGACGAAACATGCAGTCAACCGTATTGATTATAAAACGTTCATGTGTCTTAAATATTGGATATTAGGATCCCATATTTTCACGGCAATATAACAACTTCAATATACCAATACTAAATTTCAATGTGTTTTTATTTTTGAATGTTATGGACCCCCCCCCCCCCTCACATTCTCATATAACAACTCTATGCGTCTGTACAGTAATTATAAGTGAGCCGAAAATCGTCTGTGTAAATCGTCTCGCTCGCTAGTACAAGAACGCCATTGTACAAAACTATATACTCCCACAGTCCCATACAACAACTTTTGGTCTTCGAAGGAATTATTAGTGAGCAGAAATTCGCCCATGTATCTGTTCTCACCCATCACTTCATTCAGTTATATAAAGGGATAACTCGTGTTTTCCTTTTGCGTTCGTCACTTCCTATTGTTGAAACATTGATTACTCATCTATCGTAGCAATGATCTCTGTGATAAAATAATATTTGGAACGTGTTTAACCAGTTCTATCACATATGTGATAGTGACTGGCACCAATATTGTCCTTTAATATGCATGTTGATCAGACAGAAGATTAAAGCCGTCGAACAACAGACTAGACAAATTATGGAAATTGACAAACAAATAGGTGAGATAGTCAACGGGAACCAGTTGGAAGAAATGTGCAAAACGACCCAAAATCTGATACAAGACAACAGCCATAAAGATTTCGGTGTGCCAGATTACTCTTGTCCTCGATTTCAAGATGGCGTCACAGATGCGGAGGAATTATCCAAGCAAATTGGACAAATACGCAATATGGGAGACGTCAGATGTGTATATGGGCAGACTAACGGATATGTGTATGGGCAGAGTCCCGGATATGTGTATGGGCAGACTTCCGGGTATGTGTATGGGCAGACTCCCGGACATGTGTCTACAAGCAGTGGCGGATTACCCATGGCACCTGTGCAACGGCCCTGAGGTTTAGGAGTCTCTTAAAAGGTTAGAATACAAAACTGCATACTTCATTACCAATCGTGTTAATAATTATGCGATGGTTTTAACCACACCTGACCACACCAGATTCTAATTGCGCTAATGAACGTTTGAAGTGAATTAAACCAACTCTAGCGTTCTATTATGAAGCAGGGGAAACTGAACAGTTTGGTATTGGTGAGCCTTCAATGTGACTTTACTCCGAAATAATTGATTCCTTTATTGAGAATTCAGGTTGTATTTTTCTGTTAAATCTGGATGGATATTGAGTATTTAAAACAAGAAATTTCTTTATGTAATTCAATTAAAGTAAAAATTTTAACCTATTTTGTATATCTTTGGGCGGGGGGGGGGGGGTGTCTCCATTTACTTCATTGCGCCGAGCCTCCATGCGTCTTTAACGAGCACTGATGAACATACTCCCGACTATGCGCATGTTATCCTGTACAGAGCGGACCAATTCGAGTTTTAAATAAGTGACGCAAATGCTCTTTCGTATTTGTAGACGTACTTTCTAATTCGTGATTTCTAAGAAGTACTTTTCGTAGTCATTGTACCGTGAAATATATAATAGGTAATATTAGAACACATATCTATTATGCCTTTGTTAAAGTAAAATTGTTATAAAACCTCGTGTCAGTGAGAGGAATGCAAATCACCAAGGCCATGAACAATTTGAACTGTTTCAACGATATCATGCTGATTAGACACGGGATTAAATGATTTGTTCTTAGGAGTGAATTGATCGAGTTTTAAAATGGCTGTAAATGACAAAACTTGTAGTATTTGTTTAGGTTATTTTATAAAACCTAAAATAATCGACTGTCGTCATACATTTTGTGAAACATGTCTGGATGTTTATGTCAAAACGGTAGCCACAAATAATTAGTTTCCATGTCCATTACGTAGAAAGACTATTACGATCCCAATGAGTGGGGTGACTATTTATCATATCACAACCTGCATAGGTATTTGCATTTCAATATACCA